GGTGATTCCCTTCAACTTGCAAGTCTTTTCTATGCAAAGACTACAGACATCACTAGTCCATCCTCACCATCCAGCAGTTAAATTTCAGTTTGGCAAATTGCTTTTTAAAGACCCCTTCTTATATATGACTCAGTAGTTTCTCCTGGTAAAAATATCTCAGCTCTCATTTCTAGATTTTCCTGTCTCTCTATAGAAGAGTTAAGCCTATCCTGAGACTTAAATTCTCTGATGTTTTAAATAAAATTCAAAGATTCTCATCGTTCAGTATTTTCCTCTAGAGAGCATTACTGATCATATCCAACCTCTCCCCATGCAGAAACTGAAAATTTTCTTATCAATTTTAATGTTATTTTCAAGAACATATGTTACATTGTCTTTTAATAAGCAATCACTCATATTTTTATAATTCAGCTGAAAAGCAGTATTCTCTAGGGCATAAACTGTGTATACACATGAGGCAGTTATAACCAATTCTTTTGAAATCATGAAAGAGAGATAACAGATTCAAAGTGTCCTTAAGGGATCAAAGCAGTAGACTAGGGACATTCTCTCTGATGATTCATCTGGAATAGCAAATTGGTCTTGGAATATTGAAGTAACATTTTCAAAGTATTTAACCTTCTTTGTTCAGAAGGACTCTTGTTCCTGATACTGGAAGAAAGGTATTTCAAAAACTTTACAATCAAGATCAACTTTGTCCAAATGAGTAAGTCTGAGCATGTTTCTCAGCATATAGGTTGAAGAAAGATGCCTAATATTTGATGGTCTATCCTTGAACTTAAAATGGAAAAGCCTTTTTAAAACATCCATTAAATGCCGTCTGTATTCTATAAAATATCATTATATATTCAATTGATTAAGTTTAATCGGATGAGATCTGAAGTTTAGTTCTTTACATAATAAGAAGTTTTTATGGTAAGATTGATGATCTAGTTTCACTTTATTTAGACAGCTGCATTGCTTCAACTCCAGGATTGATAGAGCATATGGATTCTATAAGAATGATATGTAAAGTGTTTCCATGTGAAAGTCTTTTCTGAAAAGTTATCTGAGAACTGAATATAGTGAGGACTGGTTCATATCTATAAACAAATCATCTTAATGCTGCATTAACAGTGTCTTAAATATAACTACAGAGGCCCTCTCCGGTGGCGCAAAGGGTTAGGACGCAGCACTGCAAGCAAGATGCAGCTGCTTCAGTGTGAGTTCGATTCCCGCCCAGACAGCGAGGCAGACCTCTCCTGACCTGCCCACTGCTTCCCTCAGCAGTGTACCTCAACAGTCGCCGTGCACTGCTCCCCACTCTGTCTCTGGTGAATCTGCTCACCGCTCTTGCACCTTTGGTTTGTACCCCAGTTCTAAATGCATAAATAATAAATAAATCTTTAAAATACATATATATACATATATGTGTGTATCTATATAATATTATAACTACTGACATTGTTTCAAAAAACATGTACCAAAGAATTTTGGCCAAGTCATTGCATCTTATGTCCCCAAGGAAAAATGGGTAGATATTTAGTTATTGATTGAGATTGAGAATATTGTCTCTAAATTAATATTTTCTACTTCATTATTTACTGGTTGACTACATGTTCTCCATAGTCTCTAAATTATTTCTAACAATGATAATTTTTAGTTATTTATTTCACTATAAAAATATGAAGATTATGTTTTATCTTCATAAATCTTAGTTGGAACATTTTAGAATTGAGGCCATCCAGTTAGCTTTGAGTGTTTAAGGTAAATTTAGGAAAACATGTAATAGATATTACATAAATAGACATTTGGAATAAATAGCTTGTGAAATTCCTTGTAAAGTTTTATTTGAATAAATTGATCAACTATGTTAATGAATTTAATCAAAAATATATTATGTAAACTGAGATGGGAGTGACTGCTGGGTACTATTAGATAAACAATTAATTTAAAAGATCTTTCCAGTCACTTCTTTATATTATTCAGTTCTATTTTTACTATGAAATGTCTAAATTTATAAAGCTTGAGAAGTGAATTTTCAGTGAAGATTAGTGAGGATATATATATATATATATATAAAATTTTAAAAATAACTTCACTTCAGCATATCTGATATTAAAGTTTTCTAAGCTTCAGTGTACTATTTTGTGTACACTGACGTTAAACACTAATTGTTTCAGACCAGAGACTGTACAATGTTCATCCATGTAGCCCTCACCCACTGACCCCCCAATCATACCACTTCATCCTTCATTCAACCAGACTGTGTGCCCTTCATTTCATTTCTCTGGTAGATGCAAATCTGAGGAGTTCTATTATGCAGGTGCTGTTTCTGTCACTATGAGCCAAAGTAATATGAGCACAGCAAATGTATCAAAACGAGGTGTTAGAGTTATTAAATATTTATCTATACCGATAATAGCTATTTTGCATATTCTTTGGCTAAATCAAGGGTCTATATTTTAATATTTTTAAAGGAATTAATTTGGAAACTAAGTTTCATTATTTGACTTGTGACTTTTATTCCTTATGTATCATATTCAAGATAAAAGTAGTGTGAAAGTCAATATAAAAATACCAACATTTTACAATCATCACAAATTAATGCTGATAAATGTATGTTTTCTACTATCTTACAGCAGTTTAGAAGTTACTTTAAGTTAATTTGGAAGAAGGAGAGAAAAAGATAAGAAAGAAGGACATCCTTGTGGTCTTTCCAGCAACAACATGCTGCTGAGTTATCATCCATCTAGAGATTTGTCAACCGTTAGCTAACATCAAAGATTCTGTAACTGCATGAGATTTCCATTTTCTAGAAAACTTTAAATAATAATAAAAAAATTCCATGTGACATGAGCAATAATTATGCCTCTTTAGTCAAGTTAAGAATTGTCACCCCATAATATTTCTTAGTAAACTCTGTTAAAGGGGAGAAATGTGTGTTAACTAATAGTAAAAGTAAAAGCAGGAAAAAAAGAATCATGAGCTGTTAGAAATTGGTGCGTGATTAGATTTTGTGTAATTATCTATTCCTGTGAATATAACGCTTTTGGATCTCTCTCCAAAATTACAAATTAGGAACAAAATAATGGTATGGCAGAACAACCAAACATCAGGAACGGATTTCATCCTCTTGGACCTGTTCCATATCACCCAGTCTCCCTGGATCCTCTTTGCAATCACCGTGCTGGTGTTTCTAGTGGCCCTCTTTGGCAACAGCATAATCATCATTCTCATATGGGCAGATCCTTTCCTCCACAGCCCAATGTATTTTCTACTTAGCCAACTGTCCCTCATGGACCTTTTCTACATCTCCACATTTGTCCCCAAAATGGCCCTGGACTTTCTATCTGGGGACCACCACATCTCCTTCATTGGGTGTGGCTTTCAACTTTTCCTTTTCATGACTCTAGTGGCAGCTGAATGCCTGCTGTTGGCCTTCATGGCTTATGACCGCTATGTGGCCATCTGCCATCCACTGCGCTATCCCATTCTCATGCGCCCAGTGGTATGTGTGCTCCTGGTTCTTGTGTCTTGGCTGGGTGCCCTGCTCAATGCTTTAATCCATGTCATTTATACTCTTACTCTTCCTTACTGCGCCTCCAGGGAAATCCATCATTTCTTCTGTGAAATCCCAGCTCTCTTAAAACTTGTCTGTACTGATACATCCCAGTATGAAAATGGACTTTTTGTCAGTGGCATAATTTTTCTTATACCTCCAATCTCAGCCATTCTGGGCTCCTATGGAAGCATACTGTCCACTGTATTGGGCATAAGGTCAAGTCTGGGACTCAGGAAAACCTTGGCTACTTGTTCTTCTCACATGACTGTGGTGTTCCTGTTCTATGGGGCTGCAATCATCAAGTATCTCCTGCCGAAGTCTTACCACTTCCCTGAACTGGATGAAGTAGTCTCTGTCTTCTACACCATCCTAACACCCATGCTTAACCCACTCATCTACAGTCTTCGAAACAAAGATGTCACTAGAGCCCTCAGGAGAGTTCTTAGAAAATGAGAAAGGTAAAGTTCACCCAATGTGATTGCAAAGAAATAAAAATGTTTACTCTGAAATGTGAATTAATTCATTTATATGTATACCTATCCCTATACATTCAACAGAAAATTGGACAAATAAAATAATATATCTAAAGATAAAATATAACATGGTAATTTTTTAATCATTTATATATGCATACTCAAAAGTAACATCAAATGTCATTTAATCATGTAGTATATAAATCGCATCTTTGATATAATCATTTAATCATGTAGTATATAAATTACATCTTTTATTCCTATTATTACATTTGCTTAATTTTAATTATATAGATCTCCAAAGTAGATAAACATTATTTCCTTAAATAGTTATCTCTTTTAAAAGAGATAAAAA